ACACTGCTGAGGGGAGCCGCGGGCGGGTCAGGAGAGGTCTGCTGTGCTGTGTGGGTCACTCCCTGGGCAGGGATCTTGCTGCAGGGGCTGCGGACAGCTGCACAGTGCTGCACTTTAACCTGTTGCACCACCAGGCCCTGATTCACTACTATTAACCAAAATGCTTTCAATCACTGTCTGGGGGCAGCTGGTGGATCCTCATGTTGTCCGGCCTAATGAAACCCTCTCCTGCTGCTGCTCTAACAAGCAGCAACGGGCTCTGTGCCTGCTTCTGCCACCCTCAGCACCCCAGATTCTGCTGCAGCTCGCCAACTGCACCCCTCCTGGCAGCTGGAATTCAAGGGGGGGCCCCTCAGCTCCACTGTCTCTGGCCTCAGTAGGTGGGGAACAGCCTACCTCTGGTAAGCAGTTGTTGAAGCTGAAGCAGGTGAGCAAGACTTCCCATTGCTAGTGTCTCGTCCTAGTTTGGCTCGGGTATCTTACAGCGGATCCACGGCCTCCATATTGACTAGAGCCTTCTAGGACCCCCTTAAATTCCTCACAAAATAAAGCTGGGGAGAGGCAGGGGGTTAAAGAGTGGCAAATGCTGACAACAGTGGACGCTGGGAGCCCATTTTATGGGTCGCTCTACTTTTGTAGACATTTGGCAATAATCATAATAAAAGGTCTTTAAAGGGCGATGCACCGATTTCCCCAAAAGATAATGATCTCTGTTTTATGCTAGTCGTCAACTCTTCAGAAAAGAGCCGACGAGGATGGAACTGAGCTGACAGCACCCTTATTTGCTCTGGCCCTACACACAGACACAGGCTGCCTGCCCAGGGCCAGGGGACGGCAGGGCTGCTGAGGAAACAGCGCCCTCCACAGTTAGCACAGGGCACCCCAGGCAAGACGCACCCAGTCTTCTCTGCTTGAGCACTCCCCAGAAAGATTTCCAGGGCCCCCCTGGAGGCCTAGGGGTTGTGTCAGAGCAATGACCACTGCGGCCTGAGTTTGTCCCCAGCCGGGGAGTGACCCCCAGGGCACAGCAGACCCCTCCTGTCTCCCCAATGCTCCCCTCAGCAGCGCATTTCAGTAGATCCACCTGTTCTGCTCCCCACTCTGTCTCTGATAAACCTTTCAACTCCCCTACCCAGCCCCTCTCGCCTACACCCCAGTTCTTGTATGCATAAGTAAATAAATCTTTTAGAAAGAAAAGAAAATTCACACCTCAAGACCTCAGGCCTGAGCTACTGAAATTAGATTTAGGGATGGGTGTGGGGTTCTTTGACAAGTGTCCAGAGGCTCCGAATGACGACCACAAACCAAGGCCACCCGCCCTTTCATGGTTGACAGAACCTGACAGGTGAGCACAGCCTACCGGCCAGGCAATCGACGGGGGAACTCACCCAGGGGAGCGAGCTCAGGCACAGGCCTACACCATGGCGTGCAGAGGGGGCGTCTGTGTCCCCTGGGCCCCAGTTAGCCAAACTATTGTCACAAGAGGCCTTCCTATTTAAAGATAACGTTGTTTCCTGTTTGTCCTTTACCTTTGTCTTGCGTGCGCGGCGACGGCGGAGGTAAACATGGAGTCCCGTCTGGCTCTGAAATGTCCTCTTCGTCTTCACTGTCCAGTCCATGCAATAGTGGAAACTTCTGATACGAACAACAAAGGCAAATGCGGTTTGTGTCGAATTTCCTCCTGACAAATCCAAATGTCTTCTTCCATGTGTTCCCAAGTGCCACCCACACCCTTCCAGACACAAAATGATTAGGCCCGTCAGGACTGGATGACACCTTGGGGTCCCTCAGGAAAGCCCACAGAGATGGCAAAGGTGACGGTCATCTCACTTTGATCGGTCCACTGAGAGCTTCCCCCCACTGGGCTCCCCGGCAGCTCCCTCCCATACCTGCCGGGGTCAAGCCAGGCAAAGGGGCGGCTGCTGGCCTGCTGTGTGCAGACCCAGGGCTGCCCCACCCCCTCCTGAGGCCAGGTGGCTCGCCTGTGAAATAGGTAAGCCCCCACCCGGAAACTAAACCACTCACTTCATACCCAAAAATCAACATCAAGACTTTGATGTGAGAGCCTCCCTGATGGCACAAGGGCTTAAGTCTCAGTACTCTGAGGCTGTCTGTGGCCCCTGCAGCACGAGTTCGATCCCCAACCAGGGAGTGACCCACAGGGCACAGCAGACCTCTTCTCTCTCCCCACTGCTCCCCTCAGCAGTGGCTTTCAGTTGATCTGTCTGTTCTGCTCCCCACTGTCTCTGGTGAATCCTCTCACCCCCCTGACCCTGCACCTCTGGCATACAACCCATCTCTTGTATGCATAAATAAATCTTTATATATATATACACACACTATATATATATATACTGTTTACCTACTTAAACACCATCCTCTCTCATTCAACCCTGGTGGGGTAAACTGAGGTGCAGAGAGGCTGTCTGACTTACCCAAGTCACCCAAGTGGGAGGGAGAAAGCTGAGCCATGAGCTAGGGTCTCTGAAGGCCCAAGGAGCTGCTTTGTCACAGGGTTCTGGTGTTGCCTGAACAACCCACAATTTAACGCACAACCCTTCGCCCTCCTCCCCCCTTCTTCAGAAAACTGCTGAGAAGACTTGCTTTCCACTGTTGGGTCACTTGTGAGTGGGTGCTAACTTCAAACGAAAGCGTTCACCCAGCTATCCTGAAGCAAGGGAGGCCTGATAGGTCCAAACTGCTTGATTGAGGTTAGTCTGTTTCTATATCTTCCTAGTTTGACAACTGTTTGCTTTCAAATCAGTGTGAATTATTTTCTCCCGCCCCCTAAGAAAGGTTAAATTGCAAATTATCCCACTTACCAAACATCTGCAGTAAATGAAAAAGACACTTTTACCTGTAGCGGCCCACAGAGCTGGCGCCATCTAGTGGTCACTCAGCATTGTACGAGCTCCACACCCCATTTTTGCCAGAGATCTGTTTTCACCACGTAATACTTAAGAACACTTGGCCAGTTCCAGAAAATGAAGTTTTATGTCTAAAATATATGGAACAGGGTGCCAAGATGGAACAGCGAGAACTCGTGCACCCCACCCCACCCCCCATCATGACAGGCCTGTGCCCAAGTGTGGACTAATTGTAAACTAAGGTGGACAGGACACCAGACAGGGGCGTTTCTACAACAAAGCACCCAGAACCCAGAGGGACAGGACCCGCGGAGAGGCCCCGCTGGGGGAAGGGGCCCTATCACTGGGCGATGAGGCACACTGGGAAAGAGATCTCTAAGGCCTGGGACTTTTCCCTGGGGTCTGGGTGGGAGGGTGGGGAGGACTGAGACTAACACCTTGCACCCAAGTCTGTAATCCAGAATAGCAGAGGTGATCCCTGGAACCTTGTATGGTGGGCCAGAGGGGAGTGAGAATAAGAAAGCTAAGGAGAAGGACCTCCCCGGTGGCGCACCGGGTTAGGACGCAGCACTGCAAAGCTGCTTCAGGGCAAGTTTGATCCCCAGCCCTGGAGGTGACCCACAGGGCGCAGCAGACCTCTCCTGACCTGCCTGCTGCTCCCCTCAGCAGTGTACTTCTCAATCTGCCTGTTCTGCTCCCCGCTCTGACTCTGGCAAAGCCTCTCATCCTCCCCCCCCCCATACCTCTGGGCCTTTACCCAGTTCTGTATGCACACATAAATAAATCCTTAACAAAAAAAGAAAGCCGAGGGAAAAGCAGAGACTAACACTGGCCCTGAATAGACCCACGAGCAGATACACTTGTCCTGGGAGTCAAAGCTACAACACCCACGCGCAGACACACGTGGCCCCGGGGAGGCAGAGAACCCTGGTCAACAACCAGGCTTGGAGTCGCTCGCAGCCTCCCCTGGCAGCCGCCCGCCGCCATCTGGCCATCGCTGGGACAAGTGGGCGCCCTCTGGGAACCCACCACCACCTGACGGGAGTGGCCTGGCGAGCCGAGGGCCGAACAGCAATCGAGAGGTTCCCCGCCTGGCAGACAGGCAGGCAAGGACCCACCACCTGCTCGCCGGCCACCAGCAGGGGCCCCCACGCCAGCGAGCACCCGATGGCGCCTCCACGGCCGGCTCACGAGCAACCCCACTGCATCTTACAGCCCCGTCAGCCCAAGGTCTCGGCCCCTGCCCACTGCCAGCGCCCACGTGTACTGAGCAGCTCTGTGTGGTGCTCAGTCCCACCCTGTCTTGCCCAGTCCAAAGCCATCCTACCCCATTTGCTGTGTGCCATGCCAGGGTCCCAGGCATCCCTGGCCACAGGTCCCTCTGCCCCTGCAGCCTCGCCCCTTCAGCCTCCACAGCCTTGCAGGACACCAAGCGTTGTGCCTCCAGTGTTGCCCCCAAACTGCGCATGGTCCATAGCCTCAAGCAGCAGGGGCATCGGTCACCCGGTCCTGCGAGCGGCGGCTGCGGTCACCGAGGCCAACCACCCAGCCGGCCCAGCACACATTGCAACCAAGTTAGCAGGCTGAGGACCAAGCCTCCAGCACCCCGCTGCCCTTATGACACCACGGGCTGCTGCTGGCATCACACTGCCACAGCCCCAGCGATCAGCCACGAAGCAGGCAGCCTAGATACACGGGCACACATCACGCGGCAGCCCCGGCCAACCACATGCCAAGACTGGACCCAAAGCCCCGCCCGCAGAGCACACTGTGGCCCAGGGGCCAGGCCATCCGCAGAGCCGTTGCCTGGCAGGACTGACAGCCACGTGATGCTGTCTCCATCCCCCTGGCAAGCGGGTGGAGCGGGGTGCAGCTAGATCAGGACGGTGCTCCAAGGGACACGAGGCATCATCCGCCCAGGACCAAGCCCTCGTGATCTCCATGGTGGCGCAGGGGTTAAAGTCTCAGCGCAACTAAGCTATCACAGCCACTGTGGCATGAGTTCGATCCCCGCCCAGGGAGTGACCCACAGGGCGCAGCAGACCTCTCCTGTCTCCCCGCTGCTCTCCGCAGCAGTGTGCTTCAGTGGATCTGACTATTCTGCTCCCCACTCTGTCTCTGGTGAAGCCTCTCAAACTCCACACCTCTGGCTTGTTTGCATAAAGAAATAAAAATAAATCTGAGGAAAGAAAGGCTAAGCCCTAAGTACTAGAACAAGTACTTGTGCTTCCTAAAACATAGACATAAACATAGAGAGCCAGGCAAAACGGGGAAACAGAAGAACAGGCCCCAGATGGAAGAACACCACACTCTGTATGGCCCTAAAGGAATGAAATTAAGCAAACTATGTGAAGAGGAATTCAGAATAATGGTTACAAAGATGCTCAGCAATCTAAGGAAATAGGTAAACTGGAAAAATGAAGGAGTCTCCAAACAGTAGTTATAGCACTGAAGAATAATAGTACAATACAGAGCTCAACAGTGGGCTGGAGAAACTGGGGAACAGGTAAGAGAGTTGGGAGACAGAGCAATAGAAAACACTGAGACAGAGCAGCTAAGTGAAAAAAGAATCAAGAGAAATGAAGACTCTCTAGGAGACCGCTGGGACATCAAGAGGCATAATATTCAAGTGACCTAGGTCCCAGAAAAAACACATGAGGACATCAACACCAAAAGCTCCCTTAATTTAAGGAGGGAAGCAGGTATCCAGGTAAAAGAAGTTGCAATTTTCAAGTAAAACCTAAAAAAGTCCACACCGGACACATTATAATTAAAAAGGCAGAAATTAAAGATATATATATATAT